TGATGAGATGATGGTGATGATGAAGGTGATGATGATGGTCGCCCGATGATGATGGTGAGGTTGATGATGATGGTAATGATGATGATGGTGTCCCGATGATGATGTTGATGATGATGACGATGATGGTGTCCCTATGATGATGATGATGACGATGATGATGACGATTTTGATGATGAGGATGATGATGAGGTGATGATGGTGATTTTGATGATGGTGGCCCGATGATGGTGATGATGATGCTGATGTTGATGATGATGATGAGGATGATGATGATGATGATGATGATGGTGTCCCGATGATGGTGTTGATGGTGCCCCGATGATGATGATGATGATGAGGATGATGATGACGATGCTGATGGTGTCATGGTGATGATGATGAGGTTGATGATGGTGATGTTGCTGATGATGGTGGTGTCCCGATGGTGATGATGTTGATGATGTTGTTCATGACGATGATGATGAGATGATGATGATGGGGATGATGGTGGTGATCCGATGCTGATGGTAATGATGGTGCCCCGATGATGATGATGATGTTGATGATGATGATGGTGATGAGGTGATGATGATGGTGTCCCGATGATGATGATGATGATGATGATGATGATGATGATGATGATGATGATGATACGATGTTGATGATGATGCTGATGAATATGATGATGACGTTGATTGTGAGATCGATTGTGTTATCGATAATGAGATCGATAGTGAGACCGAATGTGCGATCGATTCTGAGATCGATAGTGAGATAGATTGTGTGATCGATCGAATCAAATAGATCGAGTGAGATCGATTGTGAGATCGACCGAGTGAGATCGATCGAGCGAGACCGATAGTGAGATCGATAGTGAGGTCGATCGTGAGACCGATCGAGTGAGACGTTGGTTCTTCCCCCCCCCGAAACTCCTTATCACCCTAAGGGTGGTCGTATAGGTATACTATATAACTTCTCGGTGCGCCCGTCGCCCCTGGGGTCCGACGGACACACGTCACGCCGATTCCTCCCTCTCTCTCTCTCTCTCTCTCCCCCCCCCCCCAGGAGGGCCAGCGCGGCCTCGCCCGAGGGGTCCTCGCCCTGTGGCTGGAACTCGTCGGCGGCGGCCTGCCCCCAAAGCCGAGCGCGCCGCGGGCGGGGGAGCGGCCGGCAGGGGGGGAGGCGGGCAGGAGGGGAGGGGGCCGCTCTGGCGGCGAGCCGGGGTAGGAACATAGGAAACCGACACCAAGGCCACCAGGAACCAACAGCGGGAAGAGCCAGGGAGGGAGGGCCCTGGTGGTGTGGTCCCCCCTCTCTGCGGGCAATAGTTATATCCACATCCAGTGCGTCTTGGATTCTTGGGCTCTCTTCCCCAGAATCCGTAGACGCACTGGATATGGATAAAAATCTGGCCCCAGGAGGCTTGATTTGATCCATATCCAGTGCGCCTCGGCGTTGCGGCACCTCTTCCCAAAAAGTCCACGACGCTCTGGATATGGATATAAGTACTGCCCGCACCTACCTCTCGCTCGAGACATCCCTTCTCCCCAGCTCGGGAAGGCATCGTGGACCTCCTCGCTGGAGAAGTGGAGAAGGCCCCCTGGTGGTGTTGGTGCCGCTTCTCCTTCCCCTCACTGGTGGGAGGAGTGAGAAGGGGCGGGCCCTCTCAGGAGGCTCGGAAGGCGCCGCGCATTCTGAGAAGTGTCCTGAGCCTTCCCCGACGACACGGGCAACTTCTCAGGGGGGCATGGGAGAGCTTCCGAGCAACCCCCCCCGCCTTCCGAGGAGGCCTTCTCCCTCTCACTTTCCCCCCGGGTCGCGCCGCCGAGAGTGGTGCCGTCGGTCAGCGGAGATCGGCCGGGTGATCGTTAACGGGGGGTAGGACAAAACGGGGGGGGGGGGGGGGAGACACGTGCACCTTTCGAGCACCTTTGGGACCCGCGGGGGCAGCGCAGGGGCTGCTTGGGGCGATTTCCCTGCAATCCTCGATCCCCCAACGTTTGTTGCCCCCCCATTGCCGTCCGCCCGAATCGAGGAAGGAAGCTGGACGTCTGGTCGCTCTTCGCATGTATATGACCCTTTTTGTGGCGTTCGAAGCTTCAAATTACCGGGGGCAGCGGGCAGGAATTGGAGGAGTCGTGCGAAGATGTGCCGTCGAAGTGCAAGGATCGAGGAAGGTCAGTGCCCCCGAAACCAAACACACTGCAAACCATGACTTTGAACATTCCACCGCGAGAAACATGGGCATGGTGGCGTCGCACCCATTTCGCCACACCCCGCACACGTTTCGTGGGCCCACAACGAGTTCCACCGAAGGCCGCAGCGGCGCAGTTCGCATGGTGGCGTCACGCACATTTCGGCAAGCTCCTCACATTTCGTGGCCCCACAAGAAGCTCCACCGATGGCATCGGTGGCGCAGGTCGCATGGTGGCGTCGTGTCCGCTTTGGCACACCCCTCCCTCACGTCCTGTGGCCCCGCATGGAGCTCCACCGACGGCCCCAATGGTGCCATTTGCATGGTGGCGTCGCACCTATGCCAGCACTGCCCTGACACGTTTTGTATCATTCGTGGTCGCACAAAGACTCTACCGAAAACCCCAATGGTGCAGATCGCCTGGTGGCGCCGCACCCATGTCGGCACGCCCCTCGCACGTGTCGTCGCCCCACAGGGAGTTCCACCGCACGTCTCAGTGGCGTAGAGCGCAGGGTGGCGCCGCATGGAGCTCCACCGAAAGCCCCACTGGCGCACTTCGTATGGCGGCGTCGCGCCCATTTCGGCACACCCCTCACACGTGTCGTGGCCCCGCAGGGAGCTCCAGCTAAACCGCCAATGGTTGTGCCTGTATGCGTTCTCCACACCATGTATGCGCAGCCCTTGCATGCTTCGGATTCCCAAAGGAGCTCCACCAAAGGCCACAGTGGTTTTGCCGCATGCCGTCTCCACACCATGTCGGCGTAGCTTTCACACGATTCGTGGCCCCATAGAGAACTCCACATGAGGCCCCAGTGGTTGCGCGCGCACGCCTTCTCCACACCATTTCGGAGCATGCCTCACACGTTTCGTGACTCCATCGGGCGCCCCTCCGCAAGCCCCTGGTGCCAGGGCCCGCAGGGCTTCTCCAAACCTTTCCGGCGCACCATTCGCACGCTTCATGGCCGCAGAGGGGGCCTCACCTTAGTTATTTGCCAGGCTAATCAATTAGTTTGCGTGCTCCTCATGTTCTGTCCCTGCATCGTCGTGTTCATGTTTCCTCGTGGTGGGGCCACCCTGGCCCTCGTGTTCATCATCTCGGGGCCTGCAGATCCAGGGCTCTGGACATCCAATTACCTGCGCGGTCCTCTTCGGCATGCACGCACTGGATCCGTCGCCTCGCCCGCGAGGGAGATCGGGCCCAGAACAAACCCACACCTCGGACCCAGGGGGCTGTACGTTTCTGCGGCCACGCAACAAACACAACTGCGAACCTGTGGGGGGTGGGACTGTTCGGACTCGACTGCGGAAATACAATGCCAGGAGAGGCTGTATGGAGCGTCCTCAAGTCGCGCCGAGCTCTCTGGATCTCTGGAATGAGGGCTGTAGATGCTCTTCAGGGTTTGCGTTGGGAAGATAGCGTGCAAAGTCGATCTCCGAACAACACGCCAATCCCGCGTGCGAGCGCTGCGTGCCCGCCGCATCGGGGAAGAAACGGCTAGGGATATACCGACCAGGCCCCCAAGACACTGCATAATCCAGCATGCGTCCCCCGCCGAGCTGAATGAAGCCTGTGTTGCCGGGACGAACGACCTGGCCACGAACGCGCTCGACCCAGCCGCTCGCCAACAGCTCATCAGGCGGTGCGCTCAAGTCGCCAAGCGCCAGCCAGTTGCCGCAGATGGCCTTGGGCGTGCTGCCCAGGTGCTGAACGGCGGTGACGCTCGCACCCCTGATGCCCGTGGCACTGGAGAAGTGTGTGGCCACTTTGGTGAGCAAGCCCTTGGGCATCGCCACCGCACAGGACACGACATTGAAGACGCCATACGGCCTTGCTTTGAAGGTCGATTCTGGTTTTCGGGAGCGAAGATGGCCGCGCGTCTGGTCCTGCCACGTGGCAAGCAGGCGCCTGCGCACCGCCATGACCGCGCCGCCTAAGTTCTCCATCTTCTGATATCTGCGCACGGCGCTGCCTGTCGCTTTCCAAGCGTTGGCCTCAAAGCCGCACATCCTGCCGTCAAACCTCTGGTCGGCAGCACGCTGCTCCAGCAAGCCAGTCACAGCTGCATTGCGCGGTGGCGCCCCGACCAACTCTCGAGCCTTCGGCCCCCCACCTGCACCCTTAGTGGGCTCCGGAAACGGCAGGGCCGTTTTTTCACCTCGCGAGCACCGCTGGTGCGGGAGGGGGCTCCCGCACGTCGGGCTGGCTGCGTCGCGCGATGCCCCGTCCTGGGAGGGGCGGAGCCGACTGCTGGCTGCGCTCTGTGGCGCCTGGAGCCGCTGGGACCTGCGGGAGCGCCTGCTCCCCCCTGGAGGAGGAGGAGGACGAGGAGGAGGAGGAGGAGGAGGAGGCCAGGGAGGAAGAGGAGGAGGCCAGGGAGGAGGAGGAATCACAGGAGGCGGAGGTGGAGGAGGAGGAGGAATATGAGGGAGGAGGAGGAGGAGGAGGAGGAGGAGGAGGAGGAGGAGGTGGGGGAGCTCCGGCGGCAGGAGCCGCCGCTTACGACGCTGGGCCTCCAGAGTGGCCGTCCCTGGCCTGCCCTCCGAGCCTGTCTCCCCCCCCTGGCGCCTCCCGTGGACGCATCGCGTCCTGGCTGCTTCTCGTGATGCTTGCGCGCCTTGCGGGCTTGGATTCGGGGAACAAGAAGTGGCATGAACATAACAGCTCTGAGGTCCGCGCGGATTTCTCGGATCGGCGCTGGGGCCTCCCGGCGGCGCCTCCGGCGCCGCCCCTGGCGCGCTCCGCGCGCCAGGGAGGGGGGTCCAGCGCCGACCCGAGAGAAATCCGCGCGGACCTCAGAGATTTTATGTTTATGTCACTTTTGTTCCCCTATGGATGCACATGCGATTCGCATGATTCCGCATGGTCTGGAGGCTCCCGGCGGCGCTGCCGAAGACCTCCCGACCCTGTTGTGGGCCCCTGGCACGGACTCGTTCGTGATGTGCTGGAAGCTCCCGAGCTCCTCCCCTTCAAGGCGAGGCCCGAAGTGTCTTCACTCTCCATCAGCTGGCCGAGGCTGAGGACAGCCGCAGCCTGCGACGGCCATGCAAATGCTGCTGCTGGCATCGCCCCCCGCTCCTCTTTGACATGCTTGAAGGCGATCGCCACCTGATACTCGCAGCTCGCCGCCATGTCCGCCGCTGCGCGCACCTTGTTCCTCGCCTCGGCCAGGGCCTGTTCGAACGCCGCACGGCTGCGGCGCTCCGCCGCCGAGCAGCGCTGGCACACCGCCGAGGGAGACTCCACGACCTTGGCATGGACTGGTACCAGCTGTCCCTGCAGAGCTGCCAACGCAGCCTGCCTCTCGACCTCCAGGCAGGCCTTCTCAAGCAGCTCGAGCGCCTTCGCCACAGTGTCGTCGGAGGTGGTCCCCGCGCCTTGCAAGCTGCCGCCCGCTCCACCACCCCTCGGCGGCGGCGGCGGCATGGCTGGCGGACCCGTTGCGCGGAGTGGTTGATCGTGTCGCCCTGTGTCTGGTTCGGATTCGCCCACGCCCCCGCTGGCTCGCGCCAAAATGCAAGAAACATTCCGAGACTGGCACCACGTCAAGCATAGTGGTGGCTCCGCTTGAAACTCCACACGCAAACCCAGCCGCAGCAATTATGGTACGCGTCGGTCGGAAGAAGTGGGTAGAAACATGATGTAGCAAGGCGTTGGAAGTAGATTCGATCCCGCCCGACCCCTGGAGAGGAGGGAAGATGGAACACCGCTCGACCCATGAAGTAGGAAGGCGCCTAGAGTGGATATGGTATCTGGGAATCCAGAACTAACTACTCTCAACGACCTGTGTGCAGTCCTGGCGACACTTTTTTCGTCGACGGCTGGGCAGGGGTCGTCTGCGCTGGCGGATGGGCTAACTAAACGGGGTCACCGTTGTATAGGGGAACGAAGAATCACACATAAACATAAAAACTCCGAGGTCCGCGCAGATTCCTCGGATCGGCGCTGGACCCCCCTCCCTGGCGCGTGGAGCGCGTCAGGGGCGGCGCCGGGGGGGCGGCGCAGGAGGCGCCGCCAGGGGGCTCCAGCGCGGATCCGAGAAATCCGCGCGGACCTCCAAGTTTTTATGTTTTGCCATTATTTGTTCCCTAGCGAATCCTGGCGACACGCGTGCCCGCCTCCACCGCCGTGCCAAGGAACCACGGACGCGCACGCGAGGCTGCTCCCCGAGGGACGGGGCTCAAGCGGCTGCCCAGGGGCACGCCGGGCGGCCCGCGAGGAGAGGAGCTGTTGGGCCGGAAGCCGCGACGCCGCCAGGGGTCAGCGGTATACACGTGCATCGCTGGGAGACGCACGCACGAGGAGGAGGAGGAAGAGGAGGAGGAGGAGGAGGAGGAGGAGGAGGAGAAGGAGAGGGAGGAGGGAGACAAACGCGTCCAGGGGCCTTGAGCCAAAATGGCTGCGGGAGGGAGGGGGGAGGAGGGGGGGAAGGAGTGGGGGAAGGGATGATTGGGGAGGGGGGAGAGGCAAGCTGGGTGCGCTCGCGTCATATCTGACGTCCTGCCCGTCCCTCCCATCCCTTACCATGGCGTAGATATCCTCTCTGTTCACATCGCACAAACGGATGTCGAGCATGGAGTAGCATTACATGGTATATCATGGTGTGAATGTCAACGCGTAGCATGACATAGCATGGCGTGGCGACGCCCCAAAGTGGGGGGGGGCTTCTGCGGCCCCAGAAATCAACGAATCGACAGCGAATGTGTAATCATTTCCGATGGTTTTTTCGGGAGGCCGTTTCCTCGACTTTGGGGTCTTTTTAGAAACATCGAAAACCATAACGTGGCAGGGCGCTGGAACTAATGACGCCATCGCTGCAGCGGAAGCGCGGAGATGAGGTCATCGCTGCAGCGGGAACACGATTCGGAACAAGCGGAAACACGGACATGAGGCCAGCGCTGAAGCGGGAGCACGATTCAGAACGAGCGGAAGCCCACAATGAGGCCAGCGCTTCAGCGGGAACAACATTTTGAGCAACAGCCAAGGCAAAAACCCAGTTCCCGGGAATCCTGTTTAAAAAAACAATGCGCGGAGGAAGCCAGAGATCTTCCAGACGTCATCGGGGGAGAGGGGGAGAGGGGTATTGAATTGTGCAATTGTGGAGAGGGGGGACTGTTGGTCGTCGGCGGAGCGAACCCTGGGGCCTCAGAGAGCACTGGGACGACTCAAACGGCTGCACACGGGTCTCGGGAGGGTGAGCTCGAAAAAAGGACAGGACGGGGCCACGAGCCCAAGAGGCCTCACATATAGCCTGTGCTCTCTCTCTCTCTCTCTATCTCGCTTTTTTTTTTCTCTCTCTCTCTCTCTCTTTCTCTCTCTCTCTCTATCTCTATATATATATGTATGATATCTTATCTTCTTTGTGTGTCTCTCCCTCTCTCTACTCCCTCTTTCCACCTCCCAATCCCAAACATTTCGTTGTGCCACGGAGCTGCCAAAGCCAATCTTCTTCCAACACGCGCAACGCGCAACGCGGCAACACGGTGCGGGTTCCCAAGCGCCCCCCGACCCTCCTGTGGACCCAGGCGATACGTCGAGCCGCGCGCCCACCTCCCCCTCCTCCTCCTCCTCCTCCTCCTCCTCCTCCTCCTCCTCCTCCTCCTCCTCCTCCTCCTCCTCCTCCCTCTCCTCCTCCTCCTGCTCCTCCCCCTCCTCCCCCTCCTCCTCCTCCTCCTCCTCCTCCTCCTCCTCCTCCTCCTCCTCCTCCTCCTCCTCCTCCTCCTCCTCCTCCTCCCCCTCCTCCCTCGTCTGCTCCTCGTCTCCCCGTCCTCCTCCTGGCCCTCCTCCGGGCCCTCGAGCCCCGCTCGGCGCACCTGCCCCCGCGCACCACCTGCCTCTCCACGGGGGAGCCAAGGGCTGCGCGGGCCGACCCGGCGTGCTCGACCCTGCGGGGGAAAACGCGGGCGCCTGCCTCGGCACACCCCTCGCGCACGCCGTGGCTCGCAGGGAGCCCCAGCCGCTGCGCCCCGGCGGGGGCGTTCGCGTGCGGGCTCACGGGCCCGACCCGGCGAGGCACGCGCTGCCCCACGAGCAGACGAGCGCGCACCACAAGTCGGAGAGTAGCTCCTCGCAAATGGCCTGGATCCGCTGCGGGGTTGCACGTTCAATCTTACATCGAGGTGAACACGTGCTGTTTCGGACTTTTGCGAGTAGGCACTTTGCGAGTCGTGGAACGCGCTCGGTGAACACGCCAGCCCAACACAGGAGCTCCATCGACGGACTCAGTGGGTGAGATCGCAAGTGATCTCCTGGACAAAACTCGGCACACACAAACACACATGAACACACGGACACACGGACACACAGACACACAAACACACAGGAACACAGGCACACAGACACACAGACGCACGGACACACAGACACACAGACGCACAGTCACACAGACGCACAGACACACAGACACGCAGAAGAACAGACATACTGACACACAGACACACAGACACAGACAGACACACACACACGCACTTTTTGCGTCGGCGGCCAGGCAGAGTGACTACGCTGGCGGACGGGGCAACTGTAGGGCATACAATTGCTAAGTAAGCCGCGATGCGCTTGAGGAGGACAGGGAAGGCCCGGCGCGGGCGGGAGGGAGACAAACACGCACACACTCAAACACACACACACACAATCAGCCACACACAGTCACACACACAGTCACACACACCACACACACATACCACACACACTACACACACCACACACACACACACACACACTCCGTGCCCCGTGGGAAGCCACAAGAACGGCCGCAATGGGGGCGTGGTCTCCTCGACCCAAATCGGCACACCCCTCAAAATACGAGCTCGCTCCCCACATGCATCTACGACCAAGGTCCAGGCGGGATTGGGCACACCAGTCGCACACTCCGTGCTCAAGTTACAGGTCCAACTACAGAGGCGTTCGCAGAAGGCCGACTGAGCTCGTGCCGGCTCACCTCTCGCGCGCTCCGTGTCCCAACGAAAGTCCCACCTCACCACTAGGCAACACGCTCGCACGCGATAAACGCGACTCGGCGCATCCCTCACGGACTCCGTACCTCACAAGGATTGCCGACCTCTGGCACTGGCGAGCGCAATTCAGCTCACCCCTCACGCACCTCGCGGCCCAAATGGGATAGCCGCCTGGCCAGCATCGCTCGCTGCAGCAAATCTACGAAGGGTTGGTTCCTTCGCTGGGTTCAAGACTGCACAATTGGAGTGCTGTCTGCTGCGGCATCAGTGCCAACATGGCCAGGGCAAACCCAGGACAGATTCTACGGCAAACTTCACGTGTGGGGTGGAGTTCCATGGTGCTGGAAATGACCCCCCCCCGCAAGTTTCCCGCCCGCGACTGAGAGCAAATGGCGCAATGACTAAGGCAAGGATGGCTGGGTGAACACCGCATCTTCACAAGGGGTCGCCCTCCTTCTTCGTTCCAGGCGAAAGCCACACGTTGAACATGTGCCGCCCTCCAGTTTATGCTCGAGTGTTCAAGCCGAACAGTCGTCGTGCCTCCCAGGGGACCGCTGCATGGGGAACGAGACTGCTTGTCTGGCAACGGCGGGCCAAGGCCACGAAGAGGCTCCACGACAGAAGCTCAAGGCACTGCCTGGAGGCAACCCGATCCTCTCCCGAGCCCAGAGTGGTCCGTCTTTCAGCGTCTTGGCTGTATGAAAACCACGACGACATCGAATGCGAGGGCAACATCTCGAAGAAGAAGAAGAAGAAGCGCACTCGAGCCCTGTGGTCAACACTCGGAGGAGAGCGGATGGATGGATACGGGGGGGTGGGAGAGGGGCGGGAGGGAGGAAGGGGAGGAGGTGCACAGCGTGGAGTGCAAAGGAAGGGTGGAGGGAAGAGGAGCAGGGAAGAGCGAGGAGAGAGGGAAGAGGAAGCAGGGAAGAAAGAGCAGGGAAGAGGAGCAGGGAAGTGGTGCGTGACGAGGAGGAGGGAGGGTGGAGGGAAGAGAAGCAGGGACGAAGGAGGGAGGGAGGATGGGCGGGGGGGAGGGAGGGAGGAGGGAGGGAGGGAGGGAGGGAGAGAGGAGGGTAAGGAGGGATGGAGGAGGGGAGGGAGGGAGAGGGAGGAGGGAGGGGAAGGAGGGAGGGAGGAGGAAGGAGGGAAAGGAGATAGGGAGGAAGAAAGGGAGGGAGGGAGGGAAAGGAGGGAAGGAGGGAGGGGGGATGGAGGGAGGGAGAGAGAGAGAGAGGTAAAGAGGCAGGGAGGAAGCGGAGGAGTTTGCGCAGCCGCGCGCGCCACAAGCTCTCGTCCGACCTCCGAGGCCACTCAGCGGTTCGCCTTGGCCACGCGCTCGATCTCGTCCTTCTTCTTGATGGCATAACTGTTGGAGGACTCCTTGGCGGCGTTCATGATCTCGTCGGCGAGCGCCTCCGCGATCGACTTGATGTTCCGGAAGGCGCTGTTGCGCGCGCCCGTGCAGATCAGGCCCGCCAGCCCCCGCCTGCCGAGGCACAGTCGGCGTGCGGGACGTCTGGCGGTCTCCCTCCCCCCTGTCCCTTCTCCCCTGGGGTCCCGAACCTGTGCGAGCCCGCCTTTGTGTGAGGGGTGGGAGGCGGGGCACGACGGAGAGCGGCCAACAGCACGTACGGCATCAAAAGCCGCACATCTCCAGACCTACGATGCTGCGTGAGCATACGATTTCGGAGGCCCGCGCGGATACCCCCGTCCCGGGCTTGCGGAGCGCGCCAGGAGCGGCGCCAGAGAAGCAGCCAGGAGGGACCCGCGCCGATACGAGAAGTCCGCGCGGAGCTCCCAAGCTGGAGGTTCCTGCAGTCTCTCCGCCTCGAGTCTCCTTTTTCTGGAGGCCGGCGGAAAAAACATAAACCTCTTGAATGGATGGCCTCGCTTTTTCAATACGGGTCCCCGGAGATCCCGACCCTTTCTCCAGGGCCGGTGTTTACCCCGAGCTGAATCCAAGCAACGATAATTTGTTTCACGGTTTCGATCCCGGGGCCTGGCGAGGACCCCTGGAGGCCGAATTTTTTTCGCTACGCCGAAACCACGCCAACAACAACACATGGTTTTTCGACGCGAGCATGTCTGGGAGCCACGCGCCTCCTCCTCTGGGGGCCGACGGAGTGGCGCTTAAAAGCCTCTCGGGTAGATGGCCTGGTTCACCCGGCGAAGCGGCGACACGTCCACAGCCTGGCGCCTCACGACGCCCGCGGAGCCGACGCGCGTGGAGTCCTCCCGAGGGCCCCCGTTCTTCACGGCGTCGACGTAAACCTTCGGGTCGGGCGAAAGATTTGGAGACCCGAAGTGGGTACGGAACAAATCGGTACCATGCCCAACATCAAGGGTTATCCAAAACCGACAGCGTCCGCTGTTGGGCAGGCGGCTGTTTGTCCTCAGTGAACAACGTCCGCGGCGGCGCGGACAGCGATTCCTGCTCAAATTAAACAGGAACTGCTGTTGGGCGTTGTACCCCTCCTTTCTGTACCCATTCGATCGTCCCGATAGGAAGTTGAATCAGAGGAACGAACCACTGCACAAGCAACAACTTCCGCATCGGCCCTGCCTATGGCGCGCGGCACGGCCCCAGGCCAACCCAAACCCGGGTCTGTCAGGCATTGCAAGATCCTGCAGGATACTGCAAGAACCTGCACCCAAGCCCGGGTCAGTGCACCCCTGGCCCTGCAGGATCCTGCAAGATCCGGCGCTATGACACTATAGAGAGAACAAGAACACATAAACATAAACTTTCGACGGTCCGCGCTGATTTCTTGGATTTGTGCCGGGCCCCCTCCCTGGCGCGCGGAGCGCGCCAGGGGATCCCAGCGCACATCCAAGAAAGCCGCGCGGAGCGCCGAGAGTTTGTGTGTTGTGTGCTTTTTGGCTCTTCTTCGACCGACTCGACCCCCGCCTGCATTGACCCCCGTCTCGATTGAGCCCCGAGGAGCGCGCCAGCGGGCCGCGCCCGAGGCAAGGCGCCATGATAGCCCGACGGTCGAGACGCCAGAAGACGGGCCACTTTGGGCTCGGTTTTTTCGGCCTCCTCCTCCTCCTCCTCCTCCTCCTCCTCCTCAACCTCCTCCTCCTCCTCCTCCCCCTCCCCCCTCCCCCTCCTCCTCCTCCTCCTCCTCCTCCTCCTCCTCCTCCGCCTCCTCCTCCTCCTCCTCCTCCTCCTCCTCCTCCTCCTCCTCCTCCTCCTCCTCCTCCGCGCGCCCCCCCCGCCAAAAGAGAAAGCCGCGCCGCTCCTCGCGGCGTCGGCGCAGACCTTCTCTCGGCTCGGGCGGGGCGGGAGGGGCCCTTGAGGCCTCGGTCGGCGGCCAGCGGGGAGGAGGAGGAGGAGGAGGAGGAGGAGGAGGAGGTGGAGGAGTAGGAGGAGGAGGAAGGAGGAGGAGGAGGACAAGGAGGGAGGAGGATGAGGATGAGGAGGAGGAGGAGGAGGATGAGGAGGAGGAGGTTGAGGAGGTTGAGGAGGAGGAGGAGGAGGAGGAGGGGGAGGAGGAGGAGGAGGACGAGGAGGAGGAGGAGGAGGAGGAGGAGGAGGAGGAGGAGGAGATTGAGGTCGAGGAGGAGGAGGAGGAGGTGGAAGAGGAGGATGAGGAGGAGGAGGAGGAGGCGGAGGACCAGTGGAAACCCAAGAGTCATTGACGATGTTGGATTACCCAAGTGCGACCCTACCTAGAAGTTGGAGCCCCTAGGAAAGCAGCATTCGTTGCTATGCTATGCTATACTATGCCATGCTATGCTGCACTATGCCATGCTATGATATGCTATGCTATGATATGCTATAATATGCTACGCTATGCTATGATATGCTGCGCAATGCTATGCTATAATATGATATGCTATGCTATGCTATGGCATGCTGTGCTGTGCTATGCTAAGCTATGCTATGATATTATATGCTATGCTAAGCTGCGCTATGCTATGCTATGCGTTGCTCGTGCTTATCCTTGCTGTGCTGGAACAGTGTTTTGGTTTGCGTTGCGTTGCTTGTGCTTTGCTTTGCTGTCGCTGCTGTTGCTTTGCCGTTGTTTTGCTGCTGCGATATGCTATGCTATGCTATGCCATGCTATGCTGCGCTGTGCAATGTTGTTCTGTGCTGTGCTGCGCTATGCTATACTATGCGATGCTATGCTGCGCTATGCTATGATATGCTGGGCTATGCTATGATATGCTGTGCTGCGCTATGCTATGCTACGCTATGCTATGCTGTGCTCTGCTATGCTAAAGCTCAGCGAAGCAAATATGAAGGTAAGCTAAGCTAAGGTACACCTGAGCTAATATGAAACTAAGCTACGCTAAGATGGAATAAACTAAGCTAAGATGAGATAAACAACGCTAAGCTAAGGGGACGTAACTGGGGGAACCGCGGGGCGGATGCCGGGGGAACCGCCCGGGGCGTTATCCACTGCCCGGCCCTTTAAGCATAGAGGGTAAGAACCCTTCTAGGCAGAGCCTAGGTAGGGAAATAAACCCTCCCTCCAAGCTCCCTCTTCATAGGCCCCTGCAGCGGTCTGAAGACCCTGAAACATGCCAAAACAATACGTAACTGGGGGAACCGCGGGGCGGATGCCGGGGGAACCGCCCGGGGCGTTATCCACTGCCCGGCCCTTTAAGCATAGAGGGTAAGAACCCTTCTAGGCAGAGCCTAGGTAGGGAAATAAACCCTCCCTCCAAGCTCCCTCTTCATAGGCCCCTGCAGCGGTCTGAAGACCCTGAAACATGCCAAAACAATATTCTCGGGATTCCAACGCCACGGAACAACCTGACTGTTGCGTTTTGAAGATCTTGAATCGTACCAGAACGCCCTTCCTGAGACTTCAACACAGCGAATCAACGTAACTGTCAGGCCCTCGTAATCCGGAATCCTGTCCAAAAAATATGCTAACGGAGTTCCCCACATAAAGAGATTAATGGTTTCGTGGGGCCCATTTTCTTGATGCCCTCCTCGCTTTGGCGGGGCCTTCCTGGAGATGTGGGAGGGGCACGAAACCATGTAAATAGTATGGTTTGCCGATACCCTCCTCGCTCAGGCGGGCCTCCCTGGAGGGGTGGGAGGGGCGGGGTTTGCCGATATCAAAAGGGGTATGTAAATATGGTTTGCCGATACCCTCCTCGCTCAGGCGGGGCCTCCCTGCAGGGGTGGGAGGGGCACGAAACCATGTAAATAGTATGGTTTGCCGATACCCTCCTCGCTCAGGCGGGGCCTCCCTGGAGGGGTGGGAGGGGCACGAAACCATGTAAATAGTATGGTTTGCCGATACCCTCCTCGCTCAGGCGGGGCCTCCCTGGAGGGGTGGGAGGGGCACGAAACCATGTAAATAGTATGGTTTGCCGATACCCTCCTCGCTCAGGCGGGGCCTCCCTGGAGGGGTGGGAGGGGCACGAAACCATGTAAATAGTATGGTTTGCCGATACCCTCCTCGCTCAGGCGGGGCCTCCCTGGAGGGGTGGGAGGGGCACGAACCATGTAAATAGTATGGTATTCCGATACCCTCCTCGCTCAGGCGGGGCCTCCCTGGAGGGGTGGGAGGGGCACGAAACCATGTAAATAGTATGGTATTCCGATACCCTCCTCGCTCAGGCGGGGCCTCCCTGGAGGGGTGGGAGGGGCACGAAACCATGTAAATAGTATGGTATTCCGATACCCTCCTCGCTCAGGCGGGGCCTCCCTGGAGGGGTGGGAGGGGCACGAAACCATGTAAATAGTATGGTTTCCGATACCCTCCTCGCTCAGGCGGGGCCTGGAGAGGTGGGAGGGGCACGAAACCATGTAAATAGTATGGTTTTCCGATACCCTCCTCGCTCAGGCGGGGCCTCCCTGGAGGGGTGGGAGGGGCACGAAACCATGTAAATAGTATGGTTTCCGATACCCTCCTCGCTTTGGCGGGCCTCCCTGGAGGTGTGGGAGGGGCACGAAACCATGTAAATAGTATGGTTTCCGATACCCTCCTCGCTCAGGCGGGGCCTCCCTGGAGGGGTGGGAGGGGAACGAAACCATGTAAATAGTATGGTTTTCCGATACCCTCCTCGCTCAGGCGGGGCCTCCCTGGATGGGTGGGAGGGGCACGAAACCATGTAAATAGTATGGTTTCCGATACCCTCCTCGCTTTGGCGGGGCCTCCCTGGAGGGGTGGGAGGGGCACGAAACCATGTAAATAGTATGGTTTGCCGATACCCTCCTCGCTCAGGCGGGGCCTCCCTGGAGGGGTGGGAGGGGCACGAAACAATGTAAATTGTAGTTTTCGGTATGGAGTGGTATGGAATGGTATGGTAGGTATGGTATGGTACGGTATGGTATGATATGGTATGGTATGGTACTGGAGGTATGGTATTGTATGGTACGGTGTGGCATTGGTGTGATATGGTATGGTATGCTATGGTACGCCATGGTATGGTTCGGTATGGAGTGGTATGGAATGGTATGGTAGGTATGGTATGGTACGGTATGGTATGATATGGTATGGTATGGTACTGGAGGTATGGTATGGTATGGTACGGTGTGGCATTGGTGTGATATGGTATGGTATGCTATGTTACGCCATGGTATGGTATGGTACGGTATGGTACGTATGGTGTGGTATGGTATGGTATGGTATGGTATGGTATGTGTGGTAGGAACTATGGTATGGTATGGTGTGTGTGGTAGGAATAATATTGTGCTGTATGGAATATGGAGCGGGAGGTGGGTGGGAAGGAGAGGGTGTTCTGGGAAAACAAGAACCCCACTCAGGATGTGGGGAAAAAATGGTTGGCTGCTGATCATGGGAAACCCTGAAACTCTGGCAAATGTATCAAATACTTAAACGAAAAACGCATTTTGAAAAGGAACCGCCCTCAATCCGGGAAACTCTTGCAAACATTGAAAACGAACGTGCGCGGTGCTGAGGCGATAATCACATGTTGAAAACCACCCGCCCTCAATCCGTGAAACTCCAACAAATGATTAAAACGATTGCGCGCGGCGCTAAGGCGAGAACCACATGTTGAAAACCACCCGGCCTCAAACCGTGAAACTCTAGAAGGCCCTGAGGCTTCGGTCGGCGGCCAGCGTGGGGGGGAAGTGAGTCGTGCGAGTGTGGCCATGCGGTGCAACAGATCTGGGCGCTGGCGGCAGAGGGCGAGGCCCTTCATAAGCCCACCTGCCTGAAGGAATGCAATTTCGGATTCATCCGCCACCGTTCGGCGGCGAGCGAGGGACGAAGTGAGAAGGAGAAGGCCTTCTCTTCTCATGAGGCGGCGGGAATTCTCAGAAAACCTTTGGCCTTTTGAAAGGTTTTCAGCATCTCCCGGGGAGGCTTAGGAAACTTCTCAGAAGACCGGGGAACTTCAGAGCATTCTGAGAAGGCCCATCCCTTCTCACTTCTCCCTGGACTAGCCGCCGATTAGGGGTTGCTTCTTTTATACTCGGCGCTCTCGCCCAGTTGCGGGCCCCAGAGGTCATCATGGATGGATCCTGCTCGAAAGCCACAGGGGAAGGATGGGGTCTAGGGCTCAGGCCGTGATTGCTCGAAATGCTGCACATCATGTTTCGCAACGTCGGATCTCGGGGAGAGTAGAGGGGGGGTTAGCGAATCAGCGCACGTAGCCTGCGTTCCTGGCGTCCCTGGCGCCTCCTGGCGCCAAGTGCATCGACAAATGCGCCTTGCATCGGGGCAGAAACCACCTGCACGTCGCAGATTCGTTCCCCCTCTTTCCCTATCCCCCCCCCCTTTCGTCCGGCCCGAGACCTGGATCGGATTCTTATCCGTCAGGAGGTGGATGATCTCGAAAGCGTGCTTCACGATGCGGACCGCCATGAGCTTCTTCCCGTTGTTGCGGCCGTGCATCATCATGGAGCAGCAGAGGCGCTCGACGATGGGGCACAGGGCCTTCCGGAAGCGCTTCGCCTGGTAGCGCCCCTGCGTGTGCGGCAGGTAGGTGTGTGCCCCGGCTTTCACCGCGATGTAGTCGACCAGGCTGAGGTCGGACACATTCACGTCCTCGTACGCCCACCTGCCGAACAGCTTCACCTGCTCCGCCATGTCTGCGCTGGACGCCGGCCTCGGCTGTGCCTGGGGCTGGGGCTGGGCTGCGAGTGCTCGAGCCGAGGGCCTGAGCCAAAATGGCTGCGGAGGGAGGAGGGAGGAGACGGAGGAGACGGAGGAGGAGGAGGAGGAGGAGGAGGACAAGTGGGAGGATGGGGAGGAGAAGGAGGAGCAGGAGGAGGAGGAGGAGGAGGAGAGGGAGGAGGAGGAGGAGGGAGTGGGAGGATACGAACGACGTTCTTTCCAGCCACCAGGAACCAGGAACCAGGACGAAGGTGGTGATGAGGTCGAAGCAAAAACAGGAAGCGAGACGGCTGTGGATTCCTCCCCCCCCATACATCCTGGGGGAGTGCCGCCAACCCTGCTCCAGCACTCGCGGACAGGCTGCAGCATTCGTTTCGATTGCAGAGGTGTCGCGTTGAAGAGCCCTGCGTCGAACACTAGTTCTGCCCACCAATCAGGACGAAGGCTGAACGATCGGCACCATCACGTGAGACGGAACACCTCTGGACAAGTCAGGAACGCCACGCGCGCTGTCATGAGCAGTGAGGCGCTAAAGAAAGGGGGAAACTTAGAGAAAAGGAGAAAAGAAAACGAAATCTGCCGGCCCCCTTGTGGCTGTAGGGCGAAGGTTCGCAGTTTCCTGTACCAGTTGCAGCTTTCAGTTTCCACTGTTACAGTTCTGCTTCTTGCCGCTTACTGTTCCTTGTTGACTTCTTGCTGCTTGCTTTTCCTTGTTGATGGACCGCGCGAGGGGGGGAGACCCAAAACTGACATTTTCTACCACGGGGAAATCGTATGCTCTGAATCGCTCGGGTAGATAAAAAATTACACCCCTCACGCAGATCGGCGGGGTCAGGGTCCAAAAACACATGGGATTTGCAACATTTATGAAAGTCGGTGGCACCTCTCACGCAGATCGGCAGGGTCAGGGTCTAAAAACATATGGGAGTTGCCTTATTTCTAATATTCGGTGGCACCCCTCACGCAGATCGGCGGGGTCAGGGTTCGAAAACACAAAGGAATCGCCACATGTTTTAAATTCGGGCACCCCTCACGCAGATCGGCGGGGTCAGGGTCCAAAAACACACGGGAGTTGCCACATTTCTGACATTCGGTGGCACCCCTCACGCAGATCGGCGGGGTCAGGGTCCAAAAACACAATGGAGTTGCCACATTTCTGACATTCGGTGGCACCCCTCACGCAGATCGGCAAGGTCAGGGTCCAAAAACACAAGGGATGTGCTACATTTCTGAAAGTCGGTGGCACCCCTCATGCAGATCGGCAAGGTCAGAGTCCAAAAACATTAGGGATTTTGTACATTTCTGAAATTCGGCGGCACCGCTCATACAGATCGGCAGGGTCAGGGTCAAAAACACAAAGGATTTGCCACATTTATAAAAGTCGGTGGCACCCCTCACGCAAATCGGCGGGGTCAGGGTCCAAAAACACATGGGAGTTGCCACATTTCTGAAAGTCGGTGGCACCCCTCAAGCAGATCGGCAGGGTCAGGGTCCAAAAACACAAAGGATTTGCAACATTTCTGAGATCCGGTGGCACCCGTGACGCAGATCCGTAGGGTCAGGGTCGAAAAACAAATAGGTCCCGACACTGCTTCACGGCGGCGCCCAGACCTCATGATTTAGCTTTTGCATCTCCCATTATCCGAGAGAGGGGGCCGGCGGCAAGGGGCGAAGCCCTTACGGATTATGTCTGTCCGGCCGCAAGGGGTAGCAGTTCCCGTCATTGAAAAAGGTTAGACCACGTCTCCGCAGCTGCCTGGAGGGCCGACGCCCCACTGGCGAATATGGCGCAGTGGCATCGGTAGCCTCCAGGACTGTCCCCTCTCCCTCACTCCCTTTTTTTCCCCCGACGGTAGGGAGGAGAGGGAAGGGAGAGCTCTCCCTCCCTCCGCTCCCTCCGTGCAAGTCCTGGGCACATCTGAAGCGAGTCTGCGCCGAGGTCGCTAGCGACACTTTACAAACAACCCCCCTCCAGCCACGTACGCAACCGTCCGGAAGTCCCAGGCACTGGGGCCAGGAACAGAGAGGCAGTCTCTGGCGAAACGCCCTGGCCGCCCTGCCGACACGTCTCGTGCTCACTCTCCTCGGCGGGGCCGCCCGTCCGACGACGTGCCCCTTTCCGGCCTGTCCCCCTCGCGCGCCTTCCACCAGATCATCTGCTTGCCCACGAGCTGCCCCAGCGCGCCCTTGCTGGACTCTATCTTCTCCTCGTACTCGGCCTGCCAGGCAGGAGCGAGGCGGCCAGAAAACGGCATCGAAAGCGGCCAAAAAACCAACGTCTCATGTCTCCCCGATTGCGAAGGCTTTACGGCTGGTGCCGCCGACCCTGAAGGGGGACGACGACGACGACGACGACGACGAAGACGACGACGACGACGACAACGACGACACTTCCCAAACCTGCCCGATCCACTACCAAGACCACTCCAGCGACAGCGGCAGCACCCCCGCGCCCCCTTTGCAGAAGCTCGGGCACGGGGCCGCCCCGGGCCGACGACGGGGACCATCGGCGGCTCCATGGGTGTGCAAGCCGAGCCCGTGTCGGTGACTCGGTCTTCTCTGCTTCTCCGCCCTCCCTCCCTCTCTCCTCGTCCCTCGTCCCTGCCCCTGCCCTCTTTCTTATTCTTCTTCGTGCTCTTCCTGTTCATTTTCGTAGGGTGTGAGGGCTCCGGGTAAAATCCATATGGGCTTTTGCACCTCGAAAATCAATCCGTCTTGTGACTCACTTTTTGCAGATTCAAGCATCAAAAATCCATCGGAACAGCATGTCAGATTTCACCCTTTGCCCTCCACCTAAAGAAAATGCTCGGTCTTATTCTTCTTCTTCTACTGCAGCTGCTTCTACAACAGCTGCGCACTGCGGTACGCGCGGACGCCTGCGCTGCCCTGTATCATCCCGCGGCCCTTCTGCTCTGGAGCCACGAACGCAGATGACGAGATCCCGAGCAACTCTCTGGCCTGAAGGGCTCCTGCTTGTGTGCCGCCCCCTCCTTCGGTCGCTCCCCCTCCCCCCAGGCCAGAAACCCGCTGAGCCAGTGCGGCGTGAAGTGAGGTACGCTGAGACATGGAGACAAGGAGACTCCGAGGCAGCTGAAGTCACTCGGCTCCGCAGGCAGGGAAACGCTAAGACAGTCAAAACTGCGAAGAGCCAGTCCTTGCCATGGTCCGAGCTGTACCAAATAAAATCGCCCTCCCTCTCGCCATAGGCAGCGCTGCTATGTGGGCGCGGAGTGCGCGAAGTGTGTGTGTGTGTGTGTGTGTGTGTGTGTGTGTGTGTGTGTGTGTGTGTGGGTGTGTGGGTGTGCGTGTGCGTGCGCGTGTGCTTGCGCGTGCGCGTGTGTGCGTGTGTGCGTGTGCATGTGTATGCGTGTGTGTGTGTGTGTGTGTGATTGTTTGTGTGCGCGCGCGTGCGTGTGTGTGTGCGCGTCGCACCCCACCGCGAGTGACCCGTTTGATCACCAATGGGTGGATCCCTGGACCTTGGGGGGACTCCACGCCGCGTGATCTGGCCCGGCCGCGAGCGTTCTCCCGGACGACTGCCTACGCCGCGCCGCCGCGCGCGTGGCCGCAACGCCAAAAAGTGCATGTGTGTATGCGTGTGTGCGTGTGCTTGCCCAAACTGGCACTTGCACCGAATGCCGTCGCCCCCCCCTGGCGTCGCAGCTGCCCACGGCGGTGTGCCCGGCACTGGTAACGAACGCGGTCGCTCCTGCTGGCGCCGCGGCTGGGGCCCACTTTGGAGCGCGCTGTGCGTGGGGAACGTGACCATACGCGAACAATGGCACCTTGACACCTCCTGGTTTTTCGCGACGTGCCTTCAAACTCATGGCGTCATCTCCAATACCGTCGTCTCGTCGCGGGTTGTCTTTTGTTTGCCCTGGGGCCTCAAGCCAGCCTCTGGACGCCAAGATCGCAAGACGCCGCCCGTTATGACGCTCTTTCTGGGAAGCCTGGATGCCTCGCGATACATTGACAATACATGGCAAACGGACAGCGCGGAGCGACGTCACAGAGGTGATCGATCGCCACGCCTCAAAGGCGGCGTCGCATCTCGCCAGAGAGGCGCACCTACCCATATTCGTGAGGAGGACATTGATGAGGACGGTGAGGAGCAGGTGGAGGATCACGGATCAGCAGTGGATCAAGTGGAGGAATACGAGCAGACTGACGACGAGCACAACCTACAACAACGTTGAGGAGGAGTGGTGCGGATGCGCAAAAAAACATGAGATAATGAGGATTAATGAAGACCGAGAGGGGACCACCAAGGATGGCAACGATGACGCGGAGGAAGGCATGCAAAATGACGCACCTTCCCGCGTCGTCCTTCTCTCCAGGCCACCTTCCCTCAGCCGCGTGTCATCCTTCTACTCCTGCACCACCCTTCTCCCCGTTTCTCCTCCTCCTCCTGTCCCTCCCCCTCCTCTCATACCCCTCCCAGTTCATCAGCCACATCGCTTCTTCCTCATGCTTCCTTTCTCATCCTCCTCCTTCCTCCCAAATACTTCCTCTCTCCGTCCACACACTCTTTCCCTCCCTCGTCCTCCTATTCCTCCTCTTCCCTTCTCGCTCCTCACTCGTTTATTTCTTCTCCGTCTCCTCTTTCCTTCTCCTTATCCTGCTCTTCTTCTCTGTTCCCCCATCATATGTTCCCCCTTCCTGTTTCATTTCCTCCCCAGTCCTCTTCGCCATTCATCCATTATCCGTGCTCCCCCATATCCCCTCGTTTCCTCTGCCTTCTCCTTTGACCTCCTTCCTCTCCTGTTTCTCCTGCGACCGGTTGTTACTGTGGCCCGTTGGGTGTTAGTGTGGCCCGTTGGGTGTTAGTGTGGCCCGTCGCGCGGCGGGATGGGAGTTACTGTGGCCCGCGCAGGCCGCTCAATGAAAAGTAATATGTAAAGGTATCTCATGTTAGATCTGGAGAGATTCGCAACCCTTAAGGGAATGCATTCCCGCGCAGGCAAAAGTGGTCACAGTAACTCCCACCTGGAACCAACGTGGTAGTAGTGCTGTGTTAGTGGTGTGGTGGTCGCTGTGCTGTGTTAGTGGTGTGGTGTTGGTAATGTTGTGTTCGTGGTGTGGTGTTGGTAGTGGCTGGTTGTGCTGTATGCTGTGTTAGTGGTGTGGTGTTGGTAGTGGTGTGCTGTGTTAGTGGTGTGGTGTTGGTAGTGTTGTGCTAGTGGTGTGGTGTTGGTTGTGTTGTTGAGTTGTTAGTAGGTAGTAGTGTTGTGGTAGTGGCGGTGGTGCTGTGGTAGTGGTGTTGTGGTAGCGGTGTTGTGCTTGTGGTAGTGTGGTAGCGGTGTAGTGGTGTTGTGGTAGCGGTGTTGTGGTACTGGTATGGTGGTAGTAGTGCTGTAGTGTGGTGTAGTAGTACTAATAGTAGTAGTAGTAGTAGTAGTAGTAGTAGTAGTAGTAGTAGTAGTAGTAGTAGTAGTAGTAGTAGTAGTAGTAGTAGTAGTAGTAGTAGTAGTAGTAGTAGTAGTAGTAGTAGTAGTAGTAGTAGTAGTAGTAGTAGTAGTAGTAGTAGTAGTAGTAGTAGTAGTAGTAGTAGTAGTAGTAGTAGTAGTAGTAGTAGTAGTAGTAGTAGTAGTCGTAGTCGTAGTAGTCGTAGTAGTCGTAGTATTTCGGGAGAGCCCAAGAGGCTCTTCGGAGAGCCCAAGAAGCGCTTCGGATGCCCCAAGAAGCTCTTCGGAGGCCCCACGAGGCTCTTCGGAGAGCCCAAGCGGCTCTTAGGCGGCTGGAAGAAGGTCTTCGGCGGCTCCAAGAGGCTCTTCGGAGAGCACCAGAGGCTCTTCCGAGAGGCTCTTCGGTGAAGGGGGGGGGGGGGCGGAGCCTTTTTTGGACCCCCCCTTCACCGTACTCGATAATTAATATACTCCGGAGGACCCCTGGCCATACTAACACCCACCGGGCCGCAGTAACAACCAACGGGCCGCAGTGACACCTTATCTCCTGGACTTTTGTTGCTTCCCCTCATGTCGGCGGCCCCTGGTAGTCGCCCATCACCCCTGGGATGTTGGGGGGGGCCTCCTTGGACTAGGTGATGAGCTGCTCCTTCGTGAAGTCGTAGCCCTCCTGGCCGGATTCCCTCATCTCGGCGTACAGGTGACCTGGTTTGCGTTCGCGTCTCTGCTGGCTGCAATGGCCTCCAGGCTCTGCTCATGCTTTCTAGCTCCTCTGTCTCGGATGCCCTGCTTCTCCTTCTGCGCAGTGGGCTGAGCTCGAGAGGAGCAGCGGAGCGCTGGGGCTGTCTTGCAGAGAGAGGTGAATGGCCTCCTCCCTGCAGAGCTCTGCTGGCTGGCGAAGCTCTCCATGGGGGGCCTCCTCCATGCTGGCAGTCTGGGTCCCTCCAAGGCCTGCTCCTGCACCTCCGCGCTGGACCTCTGCTCGCTCAGCTGCATCGCGTAGCGGCCCAGCTCCTGTCGCAGGCTCTCGGTGTGCAACTGCAAGTCGTACGCGTGCGCCTCCTCTATCATGACTTGACGGGTGAGGTGCGATCGTACCTGCTCGGCGCTGCCTTCAAGCTCGGCGCGCATAGCCTCCTTATCCTTCAGGCTGACCTTCGCCATCTCCTCCTCCTCTGCCCTAGTCTGTAGCAGGGCATACTGCAGGGCCTGCACCTCAAGCGGGACCTGCCGCTCCTCGTCGGCACTCCTGAGCTCCGCTGCCTCCTGATAGGCAACCTGGACTGCGCGCTGTGCTGTCCCCGCCTCACGCTTGGAGTGCTGCTGAAGCTCGTGGATGCGGGCCTCGGCTGCCTCGAACTCGCTTCTGGTCTGCTTCAGCAGGTCCTGCTGTCTTGCTGCGGTCTGCATGATACTGTGCAGCCTGGCCGCCTCTGCCGGCGGTAGGGCTCCTTTTCCCTTGGCCTTGGCGACCGCCTGGGCCTGGGCGACCGCCTGGATCCTGGCTGACTCGGTTGCGGCGTCCAGCTCCAGCACGTGGTCCTTCTTGGCCTCCTGTAACCTCTCTTCCATGACCACCTCCTGCCTGCTAAGCTGCTGCCTATGCGTGCCGGCAGCCGCTACCGCCTTGGTGCGCTCATGCTGGGCCTGCTGCCATGCCTCCTGCACCTCAGCACGTGCCCGCCTCAGGTCTTGGTAGACCTTCTCCTGCGGCTGTGGCTGCGCGCGGTGCTCCGCACGAACGCACTCAAGCTGCTCAAGCAGTCGCTTCGCACGGTGGGACTCCTCCTCGGCCTCAGACTTGACGTGGCTGTAGGCGGCGTCGTGGTTGCGAAGCCTGACCTCCAGCTGCGTCGCGAACTCGAGCTGCGCGGATTGCTGCTGCTTGATCTCGTGCTGGAAGGCCTTGTGCTGCTGCTGCTGTAGCTGCTGCGGTGCGCTCTCCGCCTCGTTGGCGCGCTGCAGCTGCTCTGCTTCCTCCTTCAAGGCCAGTTTCGCCTGCTCGCCGTTGTGGCGGAGCGCCTGCTCGCTGGCCACCCTCCTGACCTCCGCCAGCTCGGCAGCGAACTCCTGTTCGGCTTCGGCATGGCGTTGCTGGTGATGCGCTCGCTCCGCGTTCGCCTTGGCAACCTGATCTGCGAAGCCTCTGGTTGCACTGCCTGCCGAGCTGGCTCTCGAGCGTGGCGTGCGTCCAGGCGCTCCCCCTGGCCAAGCTGGCGGCGCACCACCAGGAGCCTCGCTGCTCAGGCGCCTGTCGATCACGGCTTTGTGGAACGTATCCCAACTCAGCGCCAGGCCGAACCCGTCCGCGCCCCAGTCGCCCTCGTCGTCCGCGGCGCCACCGTCGGCGAGCACCGCGCGGACGTCGGCGATGTTGGACCCGACCTGTTTCAGCCCCTGCTGCTTGCACTTGAGGTCGTCCCGAACCTCGCTCACTTTGGTCTCCAGGGCGGCGACCTCTGACCTCAGGGCCTTGCGCCTCTTGCAGAGCACCTGCAACTGGTCTTTCGGCCTCCGCGTGACCAGCTTCTGGTACTTGATCACGGCGATCTCCAGCAGCTGCTCCTTGGTGCAGTCGCCGGCCGCCTGCTTGGCGATGACCAGATCACCCAGCTTCCTCAACCTCTGGTCGGCGCTGCGGAGGAACTGCTGGATGCCTGATCGGTCCGCTGGCGGCGCCTGCCACTTCGGATGCGAGGTTGTCTCGTCCAGTTTGCAGGCCGCCACCGAGTCAATCACTTTCTGTGCTTTCTGATCTGCCTTGCTGGAGCTGGCCTGGCCCCCCTTGGGCGTCCTGGGCTGCTGCTGCTGCTGCCAGGGCTGCGAGCTGGCCTGGCCCCCCTTGGGCGTCCTGGGCTGCTGCTGCTGCTGCTGCTGCTGCTGCTGCTGCTGCTGCTGCTGCTGCTGCTGCTGCCAGGGCCCCACCTGGGCGTCCTTGGCCTGCCAAGTCTGCTGCTGCCAGGGCTGTGAGCTGGTGCCTCCAGCATGCCAGCCTCCTTGTTGCCACTCGGGGGGGGCACCTCCAGCCCGCCTCCAGGGCGGCTGGCTGTCGTCGCCAGGCTCCGCTCCTCGGCCCTTGCCACTGCCTCTACGGCCTCTGCCCTCCTTCGGCATTGGCGCGGGCGGGGCGGAGTGGTGCTCCGAGAGCAGCTGTCGGGCGTCTGCCAGGCGCACCAGCAGCCGCGCCTGCGCTCTGGCAGCGCGCTCCCGCCTGTGCCAGGCGGGCTCTGGCGTGCTGCGGCGCCGCGTGGCTGGCGGTGCGCGGGCCGCTCCGCAGCGGCTGCTGGTCGCCAGGCCGCGCGCCTGGCGGGCGAAGTGCGGCTGGGCCGCGCGATGGCGCGCGCCCCGCGCGCGAGCCCCGGGCTGTGGGGCTGGCCGCGGGGGGAGGGGGGGGCAACGAGACGACACGTCCCCCCCGCGGCCCCCGGCGGCGGCGCCCCTCCTCAGCCCGTGGCTTCCTCCTCCTCCTCCTCCTCCTCCTCCTCCTCCTCCTCCTCCTCCTCCTCCTCCTCCTTCTCCTCCTCCTCCTCCATCCCTCCCTCAGAGCCCACCGCGCGGAGGGGGGCACCTTGGGCCAGGGGCACCTCCGGCAACGCCCGAACGCAGGGCGACGGCGGAATCCCAGAGGGACCCCCCCCCCCGGGGCCTGCTTCGGCGGCGCGCGCAAGGGGGGTGGACGGGGGGGGGGCAGGGCCTCTTAGAAGGAGGCTGCTTCTTGGAGGGCGCCAGCCTTGCATCTGCAGATCGGGCCCGCGCCTTCTAAGAAGCAGGGGTGCTTCTCAGAAGCCTCCCCCCCTCCCCCCACCCCCCTCTGCGCGTGGCCGACTGACTGCTGGGAGGCGGGGGGGCATCGCCACGGCAAGGAGCAGGGGTGCTTCTCAGAAGCCCTCCCCCCCTCCCCCCACCCCCCCTCTGCGCGTGGCCGACTGCTGGGAGGCGGAGGAGGGGGGGCATCGCCACGGCAAGGAGCAGGGGTGCTTCTCAGAAGCCGTCCCCCCCTTCCCTCTGCGCGTGGCCGACTGCTGGGAGGCGCGGGGGGGGGCACCGCCACGGCAAGGCCGAGGCGCTCCGAGGAGCCCAGCGGCCGTGGGGGGGGGGGCGGGGGCGGCGCCGCGGGCCCTGCCTGGCGACAAGATGCGGGGGAGGCGAAGGGCCGACCACAACGATGCTCGGCATGGCGATGCAGCCGAAAAACGGAACAGAGCCCCACGTTCAACACACATGTTTGAATCGAAGCCGGTGCCAAGCGAGACGAAGAGCGAAACGGCGCCTGGAAGGCAACAGCGAACAGCGAAGCGGCACCACAACAAACAACGACCCGAAGAACAAACCAGATGCCCAAACCGAGCTAAACAGCGTGGAGGTAGAATCTCTAGGGCAGAGCCCGACCTGGGGAACAGCGAGAAGGGACATAGTCTTTTGCAGTGCAAGTCGGACGCCTGGCACGCGCGCCGCGTGCTCCCAGACGGACCCAGCACAGTGGTGGGGTCCAGGAGGGCGACCACAAGGACGAGGGCAGCAACATAGGGCCAGGCCACGGATCAGGACCATGACGACAGGGCCAGCAGCGACGACGGCGGAGAGGAGGGGTCCTTGTCCCCTACCTCGATGGAGAGCTCCTCTATCTTCCCGACCACGAACTTGGCGGCCTTCTCCATGCCGCCCTTCATGAGCACGGGGTTGGCGCCCCCAACGAGGTACCTGAGGCCGTCCTTGACCATGGCCCGTGCGAGGACCGTGGCGGTCGTGGTCCCGTCGCCCGCCACGTCGTTGGTCTTGGAGGCGGCTTGGCGAATGAGCTGCACGCCTGTGTTCTCCACCTTGTCCTCCAGCTCGATCTCCTCGGCTCTGCTGCCACTCTCCATTCTCCGTCCTCTCGCCTCGCTCCGACCCCTCTCCCGCTTCCCCCCCTCCCACTTCCCCCCTCCCCTCCCTACTCCCCTCCATCCTTCCCTCGCTTTCTCTACTCCCCCTCTCCGCTTCCTCCCCTCTCACTCCGCTGATGGTGGTTGTGGTGGTGATAACGACGAGGAGGATGAGGAGACGCGGGAGGATGATCTGAAGGATGTGGAGGTGGAGAAGGAGGAGGTGGAAGAGGAGGAGGAGGTGGAGGAGGAGGAGGAGGAGGAGGAGGAAGCCTCCCCGTCCCGGTCCCTCGCTCCGCTCCTCCCCCCTCCTTCGCTCCCCTACCCCCTCGCAGCCCGCACTCCTCTGCTCCTCCCCGTGCTGTGCCGCCCCGCACCGGTCCCAGCCCGCCCTCCCGCGCCGCCCCGCTCCTCCTCCGCCGCGCGCCCGCCTCCCCCCTCCTCCTCCTCCTCCTCCCTCCCTCCTCCCCCCCCTCCTCCTCCTCTCCTCCTCCTCCCCCCCCTCCCTCCCTCCCTCTCCCTCCCTCCCCCTCTCCCCCTCCTCCCCCCTCCTCCTCTCCTCCTCCTCCCCTCCCTCCTCCTCCTCCCCTCCTCCTCCTCTACCCTCCTCCTCCTCTTCCTCCTCCTCCTCCTCCTCCTCCTCCTCCTCCTCCTCCTCCTCCTCCTCCTCTCCTCAAGCATCCCCCGCCTCCGCGTGGGATGGACGTGCTGGGCTCTGCGCGCCCAATCGCTCCGCGGCGGAGCGCCGCGCGCCGCAGGCGCGGGCGCATGGCCGCGCCGCCCGCCACCTCCTTGCCGCCTTCGGCGAGGTGCGCAGCCATTGCGGGCAGTCGCTCTCGTTGCTGGGCGAGGCGCTGCGCGACGCTGTGGCTGCTAGCGCCCGTCGCGAAGGCGCTGGCGGAGATGCGGAGGAGGAGTTGGCGCTCCTGGGTTCGACGGCACATCCGAGGTCGCAGCCGAAAGCAGCCTCGGCATGGGCGCGCCTGCCAAGGCGGCCGTGGATGTGGTAATGAAGGTCGTCGCTGGAGGAGCGGGCGATCGTCTACCTGCTGGTGCCGAGGGTCCTAGGGGCGAGGGAGGTGCAGAAGTGCAGCCCTCGCTGGTGCAGCGGCGGCCTGCCAGGACCCGCCTGGCGAAGCAGGAGGTGCTGACGATTATGAGGTGGCGGACGAGGCCGTCGATGGAGGAGCAGTCGATCCTCTTCGTCCGCCTGCTGGTGCCGAGGGTCCTCGGGTCGAGGGAGGTGCCGCTCTGGAGGGTGCTGGGGCGCCACGGGGGACGACTGCCCCAGATGTGGCAGAGGCGGTCGCGCAGCTAGCAGCGGTGCCTGACGCTGGAGGCCCTGGTGCTCGGGCTCATCGTGAAGGCGCTTGCGATGGAGGCGCCAGCGCGGACGTCGGTAAGCTGCTGCACGAGCTCGGGACGGCGATGGCGGCGGCCGCCCTTGCCCCGTCGGCTGCTGAGCGATGGGCGGTCAGCGCTGAGCGTGCGCGGCTCCTCCGAGACGCCGATGCCTTGCGTGGCAGCTCGGGCTCGGCGGATTGCAAGCAGAGTTGGTGTGCTACCACCTCTCCTTCGTGCATGGCCTCTGCGTGGTCCTGTTCTCGCTTTCCTGTTCTGGGTCGTATCGGCGCTGGAGGAAGTCAGAGTGTAGTGTAGCTGATATGTTCCGAACTGTCGCTCTTAGCAACCGAGGTATCCCACCCAAGGCACAAGTTCTTAAGGGTGTGTGGTTCTCTCTCTCTCTCTCTGTTGACGTTGCTTCCCAGCTGTTCTGATTCTGATTGTGACTCCTCCCTCCTCCCCCCTCCCCTTCTCCCCCTCCTCTCCCTCCCCGCACCTCTCGCCTCCCCTCCCTCCCCTCACTTGAGCTTGAGTCCCCTCCCCTCCCTCCCCCCCTCCTTCCCACCCTCCCTCCCCTCTCGCCCCCCCCCCTGCTCTCCCTCGAGGGTGGCCGGGGAGTCGCCCGTCCCCCTGCCGAGCACTGCCACCTGCGCACAGAAGCTCGCTGCTTCGCCCTCCCGGCTCTTCAGTCGGAGCGCGTTCGGTGTCTACACTTGGTGCTGCCGCTGCAGCGTTGGCCTCGCTTTTAGGGCCGGCGCTGTGCCCCCGTCACTCAGAGTACAGTCGGGGCGTGGACCTAAGGAACCCTAAAAAAGGAACGAGGCCCCTTTTTTTCCACAAGTGAACCTTCGATTTCTTGCAAGCAAGAGGAGGAGGAGGAGGAGGAGGAGGAGGAGGAGGAGGAGGAGGAGGAGGAGGAGGAGGAGGAGGAGGAGGAGGAGTGGGAGGAGGAGGAGGAGGAGGAGGAGGAGGAGGAGGAGGAGGAGGAGGAGGCAAGCTGCGAAACACTTACGGAACGCGGAGCCCCGAGAAGGGTTCCTTCTTCAGGGGCCCCGACTGTAGCGCTCTCGCCCCGGCGCGGGCCACGAATGCTGGATCCGAGTCCCTCCTCCTCGCTGTCGCCCCCCTCCCTCCCCCTTCTCCGCTTTTTTCCCCTGGCCCTCATTCGGCGGTGGACAAGCCTCCCTTTCGTAAACCTCCCCTTCATGAAAACGGCCTGGGGCCGAAACCGACGGACCTGGACCCGTAAAAACGACGGCCGCGACGCCCTCTCGCGAGCCGAGGACGGCCAATTCACTAATCGACGTGTCAGGGTAGGAGGTCTGTCAACCTCCGACTCATGTTCTCCTCGCCCCTTCCTCTCCAGCTTCTGCTCCTGTTGCTGCTGCTGGCCCTCGCCCTCCTCTTTCCCAATCTTCGTCCACTTCCTCCTGCTCATTCTCCTGCCCATCCGCCGCCACCTCATCCTCATCCTTCTCCTCCTCCTCCTTCTCACTCCCCTCCTACGCACGCAACTTCCCTCCTTTCGATTGCGCAAAGCACGAGTTCCAGATCCGCTATTACACGCGTCCGCGGATAGAGATACAGCAGCGCGATGGGAAAATATGTGCGGGAGGGGTAGGACGTCAGATATTATCCTCATCTCCTCTCCACTCTCCCTCGCTCCCCCCAGGTCTCGACGTCCTTGGCGATGGTCACGCCGTCGTTCACGATCTGCGGCGCCGAGTACTCTCCCTTGATGGTTGGCCGCGGGAGGAGGGGGCAGGGCTCAGACGGCCTCCTCCAGCTCCTCCTCCTCCTCCTGCTCCTCCTTCCCCTCCTCCTCCTCCTCCTCTCCTCCTCCTCCTCCCCCTCCTTCTCCTCCACATTATCACCATCATCATCATCATCATCATCATCATCATCATCATCATCATCATCATCATCATCATCATCAGCATCAGCAGCAGCATCATCATCATCATCATCATCATCATCATCATCATCATCATCGTCATCGTCATCATCATCATCATCATCATCATCATCATCATCATCATCATCATCATCATCGTCATCAGCAGCAGCATCATACTTATCATCATCAGCAGCATCAGCATCAGCACCATCATCATCATCATCAGCACCATCATCGTCGTCGTCACCGTCGTCATTGTCGTCATCATCATCATCATCATCATCACCACCATCATCATCATCAGCATCAGCATCATCATCAGCATCATTAGGATCATCACCGTCACCATCACAATCACCGTCACCGTCACCATCATTAGCCTCATCAGCCTCATCAGCCTCATCAGCCTCATCATCATCATCATCAGCACCATCACCATCACCATCACCATCACCATCATCATAACCATCATCATCATCGTAGTCGTCGTGGCCGTCGTCGTCGCCGCCGTCGTCATCACCATTATCAGCCTCACAATAATCAGCAGCATAACCACCACCATCCTCATCATCCTCATCATCCTCACCATCATATCCATCTTCGTATTCATCACCAGCATCATCATAATCATCATAATCATCAGAATCATCAGAAGCATCATCATCATCATCATCATCATCATCATCATCATCATCATCATCATCATCATCATCGCCATCATCAACATCATCGTCGTCATCATCGTCAACATCATTAGCATCGTCGCCATCATCATCGTCATCATCGGCGTCATCGTCATCATCCTCATCGTCAACACTAGCATCGGCTTCAGCATCACCCTAATCAGCTTCATCATCATGATCATGTTCGTGATCATCATTAGCATCATCACCATCATCACCAGCAGCATCAGCACTGGCATCATCATCAGCATCAGCATCACATCCACCACCACCACCACCACCACCACAACCATCATCATCACCACCACCATCAGCTTCGTCACCACTATCATCATCAACATCCCCCGCATCAGCAGCATCATCATGATCATCGTCAGTACGATCTGCCTCGTCATCGTCATCGTCATCGTAATCGTCATCATCGTCACCACCATCAGCATCAGCATCGCCATCGTCATCGTCATCATCATCATCATCATCATCATCATCATCATCACCCTCATCATCATGATCGGCATTATCATCAGCAACAGCAACATCATCATCATCGTCGTCGTCATCGTCATCGTCATCCTAAGCTTCATCATCATCCTCATCATCAGCATCATCATCGTCATCGTCGTCGTGATAATCATCATCGTCATCATCATCAGCATCATCATCAGCAGCATCATCATCAGCATCATCATCGGCAGCATTATCATCAGCATCATCAGCATCAGCAGCATCAGCAGCATCAGCAGCATCAGCAGCATCATCATCGTCATCAGCATCATCATCATCATCATATTCATCATCATCATCATCATCATCATCATCATCATCATCATCATCATCATCATCATCATCATCATCATCTCTGCACTTCTCATCCTCCTCCTCATCTCATTATTCTTCGTCGTCTCCGCCTCGTCCTCCTCCGTCTCCGCCTCATCCTTCTCCTCCTCCTCGGCCTCCTCCGCATTCTCCTCCCCCTCCTGCTCCTCCTCCTCCTCCTCCTCCTCCTCCTCCTCCTCCTCCTCATCCTCATTCTCTTCCTCCATGTCTTCCTACCTGTCAAGGCATGAACGATTCTTGCCCCGGTGCCGGTGCCGGTGCTGGTGCCTCTGGCCGGTGGCCGGTGGCCGGTGGCTGGTGCCGGTGGCGGTGCGGGTGCCAGTGCCTGTGCCGGTGCAGGTGGCTGGTGCTGGTGGCCGGTGGCCGGTGCCGGTGCCGGTGCCGGTGCCAGTGCCGGTGCCAGTGGCCCAATGGCCAGTGCAGCAGTGGCCGGTGGCCGGGGCCGGGGGGGCCGGTGCCGGCGCCGGTGCCGGTGCCGGTGGCCGGTGGCGGATGCATCGCGGCCGGTGGCAGGTGCCGGTGCCGGTGCCGATGCCAGTGCGCGGTGCTGGGTGCCGGCACCAGCACCGCTAGCGGTGCTGGCACCAGCACCGGCACTGGCCCCACGACGGCCCACACATAGAAGGATCCAAGACAACCCAAGAGGGCTCCAAGATGGCCAGGGAGGGATCCAAGAGGACACCAACTCGGCCCAAGGGGATTCTCAGACGGCCCTGAAGGACCCAGAAAACCCACCAAGACGGACTCCGAAAACGCCAGACGGCCGCACCAGGGGGCCCCAAAGAGGTTCCGAACACCCCCCCTGCGGGACGCTGCGAAGACGCCACGGAGTCCCCAAGGCCCGAGGTGTCACACGTGACGGCCTCCCGTGTCCCCTCGCACACTCGCAATAGAGAATGCTGGGCTGACACGGTGGCGGGACTTGCCGCAAGCACCTCCTCCTCCTCCTCCTCCTCCTCCTCCTCCTCCTCCTCCTCCTCCTCCCCCTCCTCCTCCTCCAGCTCATCGTCATCGTCTTCCTCATCGTCGTCATCCTCTTTGAAATCTACGCGCCTATAAACGAGCGAGTCGGGACAGGCGGGCGGACCCTAAGGAGCGGTCGGGCGAATCGGGCGGGCGGACCCTAACGGGCGGGTCGGGCGGGGCCCTGAAGTGGGGGGGGCATCATCGAGTGGCACGCGCGCATCCTGACATGTGGGTCGCGTCGGGCGGGCGGACCCTAACGGGCGGGCGGGTCGGGAGGGCGGACCCTAAACGGGCGGGTCGGGTGGCCGGGCGGGCCCTAGCGGGCGGGTCGGGCGGGCGGGCGGGACATTGAAGTGGTGGGCATCATCGAGTGGCACGCGCGCATCTTGACGGGTGGGTCGCGTCGGGCGGGCGGGACATTAAGATGGGGGGCATCATCGAGTGACGCGCGCCTACCCTAACGGGCGAGTCGGGCGGGCGGGGGGTCGGTCGGGGCGGGCGGGCCCTAACGGGCGGGTTGGGCGGGCGGGCGGGACATCCAAGTGGGGGGCATCATCGAGTGGCAAGCGCGCACCCTAGCGGGCGGGTCGGGTCGGGCGGGCGGGGCCCTAACGGGCGGGCCAGGCGGATCGGGCTGGCGGGCCCTAACGGGCGGGCCGGGCGGGCCCTAACGGGCGGGTCGGGCGGGCGGGCGGGACATTGAAGTGGGGGGCATCATCGAATGGCAAGCGCGCGCCCTAACGGGCGGGCCGGGCGGGCGGGCGGACCCCAGCGGGCGGGTCAGGCGGGCGGGCGGGACACTAAAATGGGGGGCATCCTTGAATGGCAAGCGCGCGCCCTAACAGGCGGGTCGGGTCGGGCGGGCGGGCCCTAACGGGCGAGTCGGGAGGGCGGGCGGGACATTGAAGTGGGGGGCGTCATCGAGTGGCAAGCGCGCACCCTAGCGGGCGGGTCGGGCCGGGCGGGCGGACCCCGACGGGCGGGTCGGGCGGGCGGGCGCGCCCTGACGGGCGAGTCGGGCGGGCGGGCGGGACATTCAAGGCGTCCTTGAATGGCGCGCGCCTACCCTAACGGGCGGGTCGGGTTGGGCGGGGGGGGTCGGGCGGGGGGGGTCGGGCGGGCGGGCGGGCGCTAACGGGCAGGTCGGGCGTCGTCGTCGTCGTCGTTTTCGCCCTTGTCTTCGCGGAAGCCCAGGGGGCCAGGATGAACGTAAAGGCGGCGACGGCGGACATCGGCAGCGTCCACGTGCCGAAGATCCAGACCCTAGGGGTCGTGAAGAGCGGGGCGAACCTGGGGCTGCCCCAGGCGACCGAGGAGGTGCCGCTCCACGTGACAGAAGATACGAGAAGCGAGCAAATCGTGGAAGTTCCGACGGGGTACGCCGAGGCAACAAGTCCCTATGGAATCGGACCTGGCTCCCGAAGGGCGCGGCTCGGACGACATGCTGATGGTGCCCATTGCCGGCTACGGGCTGGAGCCGACGGCCCCTGAGCGTCAGGACCTCGGCGGCGACGAGGACATGGGTGCCATGAAACACGAGGCGGCGGAGATGGAGAGCCTGCTCCGTGGCGCAGCACAGCTGCAGCGGGCGCGCAGGAGGGGCGCGGGCAGGACGCTGCTGGCCCACGGGCGCCACGCGCGAAGCTGGGGCATGAATGCGAGCTTGTAGTGCGGAGCAGCGCAGACGGGGGAAGAAGGAGCCCGTGCGCCGCCGAGGAAGGCATGAGCCCCCTGAATTAAGACGGGAAAGTACGATCGGGCAGGGGGGGGCCCAGTCGAGGGCGCACGGCGCCCGCTCGCGCGAAGCCGGCCGCCTGCAATGCGAAGCGACCCAATGTGGCCTTCAAAGGGGGCATTGTCCTGCCGCCCTGCCGCCCTCGTCCTCGTCCTCGTGCTTTTTTTCCTCCGCGTCCTCGTTTCCCTCCCCCTCCTCCTCCACATTTTCGCCCTCCTCCGCCTCCTCCTCCTCCTGGTGAAATTTCTACTCTTCCCTGGCGCGCCAGGCCCGCGGAGCGCGCCGGGCCCCAGCCCCAGCGGGGAGGGGCGGAACGGCGGAGAGGAAGAAGGACGGAGAAGACGTAGGAAAGGGGAGAAATACGACGTTTTAACCCGGGGGCGCCGGGGCACCAGGAAACGCGGCGTCTACTGTTACAGGACACCGCTGCTACCTGGACCGGGCGTTAAGTGCAAATAGAAATAGTCCCAAGCTGAGTCGGGGGATAAACAAGGAGAATAGGATGGAGGGACGACGTCGAAGGAGGAGGACGTTGAAGACGAAGAAACACGAGGGCGAGGATGACAAGGACGACGAGGAGGGCGGGAAATACATAATGGAGGGGTACGTGAGCAAGCGCG